ACTTAATCCATTTAGATCCATTTAAACCACTTAATTAGATGTTTTATCATTACATCAAAGTCAACTTATACCCACCCCCTCTGTCTTTTATTTTTTGTTTGTTTTTGTTGGTTTTGGCTAGGCAATGGGATTAAGTGACTTGCCCAGGGTCACACAGCTAGTATTATGTGTCTGAGGTCGGATTTGAACTTAGGTCCTCCTGAATCCAGGGCTGGTGCTCTATCTAATGCGCCACCTAGCTGCCCTGCCCTCTGTCTTTTAAATGATATAATAACAACACAGTTCTCAAGAGTTATCTTCAAGTGTCATCTTCCCTTGTAGTGATGTAAACGATTTGCCCTTTTTTTTTTTCTGTCCTGTTTACCTTTTTATGCCTCTCTTGAGTCCTGTATTTGAAGATCTAATTTTCTGTTGAGCTCTGGTCTTTTCATCAGGAAGGTTTGGAAGTCCCCTATTTCATTGAATGTCCATCTCCTCCCCTGAAAGATTATGCTCATTTTCGCTGGATAGTTGATTCTTGGTTGTAATCCCAGCCCCTTTACCTTGTGGAATATCGTATTCCATGTCCTATGATCTTTTAATGTAGAGGCTGCAAGGTCCTGTGTAATCCTGACTGCGGTTCCATGATATTTAAATTGTTTCTTTCTGGCTGCTTGTAGTATTTTCTTTGATCTGGTAATTTTTGAATTTGGCTACTATATTCTTTGGCATTTTCAATCTGGGATCTCTTTCAAGAGGTGATTAGTGGATTCTTTCAATGACTATTTACCCTCTGGTTCTAGGACCTCAGGGCAGTTTTCCTTGATGATTTCCAGAAAGATGCTGTTCAGGCTCTCTTTTTCATCATGGTTTTCAGGTAGACCAATGATTTTTAACCCAATGATTTTTAGATTGTCTTTCCTGGATATGTTTTCCAGGCCAGTTGTTTTACCAATGAGGGATTTTATGTTTTCATCCATTTTTTCATTCTTTTGCTTCTGTTTGACTGATTCTCACTCTCTCATAGAGTCATTAGCTTCCACTTGCCCAATTCTAATTTTTAACGAATTGTTTTCTTCTATTAGATTTTGTCTCTCCTTCTCCATTTGACCCATTTTACTTTTTAAGGAATTTTCTTCAGTGTACTTTTTTTTTGTTAAGAAGTGTAACTTTTGTTAAGAAGTGTAACTTCTTAAAAGTGAGTTTTTGTGCCTCCTTTTCCATTTGGCCAATTCTTCTTTTTAAGGAGTTTTCTTCAGTGTACTTTTTTTTCCAGTTGACCATTTTATTTTTTAGGGACTTGTTTTCTACAGTTAATTTTTGTCCTTCTTTTTCCAATCTATTGATTCTCTCTTACATACCTCATTTCTTTTCCCAGTTTTTCTTCTACCTCTCTTATTTGACTTTTAAAATTCTTCTTGAACTATTCCAAGGCTTTCTGTGCTTCAGAACAGTTCATATTCCCTTTTGAGTTTTTGGATGTGGGTATATTGACAATATTGTCCTTTTCTGAATTTCTGCCTTGATCTTCCCTGTCCCCACAATAAGAATCTATGGTCATTGTATGTTTCTTTTTGCTCATGGTGTTTACTTATTTCTTGACCTTTAAAAAAATTGAGCTCTCCTGCTAGAGAGCAGGGGGCCACTGACCCAAGCTTCTTGTGCTGGAAGCCTAGGGCCTGGTCACTGGCTTTGTGTGCTGGGGCCTCAAGTGCTGGCAGTAGGAGGCTGTAAGGTTCTGGCAGCTTACTTAGTGTTGGGCCTGAATAAGCAACACTGTAGCTCTAGGGGTAAGGGTGAGGAGTCTGGCCCCTGGAAAATGCCTGCTCACCCAGGCCTTGTGCTGCTTTCTTTGGCTACTGTTCACCCGGGCCTTGCACAGGGATGTTTTGCTGCTGGAGGATGTCTGTCAGCCCGGAGCTTTACCTGTTAAGAGTCGTGCTTCCCAGAGTTTTGCTGAGGCACCAGGAGACTTGGCTGCCAGAGAATGCCGTAGCACATGGTGGTTTTCCAAGCAGGTGTCCCCTGCCCATACTGAGGCACTTGGGGTCCTGGTATTGGTGATTGCCTGCTCTACCATCTGGGGTTCAGGATCTCCCCCGGTATACTAAGATGCGGTTCTTGCTAGCTTGCTGAGATACCTCCCATTTGTACTGCTTCTCCTCCCCCAGAGCGAGAGGGGCCTTTCCCATTAATCCCCCAAGCTTCCTAGGCTACAAGACTGCTGCGCTCCATCTTTCTACTGGTTTAGCTGTTGCAGGATTTTTCCTGGGGTGATATTTTCTGGGCTTTCGGAGGTCAATAAGGGAGGGTAAGAGCAACTTACTTCTTACTCTGCCATCTTGGCTCCTGGAAGTGAAACCCATAGTTATTTTTAATGACATTTCTCTTTCTAACTCCTTTTACTAGGTTTTGTTGGTTATATATAATAATGCTGATTATGTACGTAGATTTGTCTTATATCCTATAACTTCTTATTTGTTAAAGTTAGCAAATAATACATGAATAATAAATTAATAGAATTGTTTCAATTAGTTTTAGTTGACTGAAGTTCTCTAACACCATTATATCATATTCAGAAGTAATTAGTTTTGATTTCTCTTTGCCTATGCTCATTCTCTCAATTTTTTTTTCTTGTGTGATTGTTACCACTAGCATTTCACATAATATGTAAAGTGGTGATAATAATGGGTATCCTTTTTTTCCCCTTGATTTTTTTTTTTGGAAAGCTGTCAACTTTCTCCATTACATATGTTTACTCTTAGATTTAGATTTTAAAAAAATATTTACTATATTAAGGAAAAATCCATTTAGTCTTATGATTTCTAGAGTTTTTAAAAGAAGTGATTGTTACACTTTTAGCATCTGACAAAATCATGGTTCTTATTTACATTAACATGTTTTATTTTATCATCTTTCTTATACGGAACCAACCCTGTATTACTAATATAAATTGAACCTGATCATGATCTTTCTAATATATTATTGTAGACAATTTGCTAATATTTTATTTTAAATATTTTATTAATGTTCTTTAGAGATATTGGTCTTTTCTTTTCTGTCTCTGCTTTGTCTCTCCTTGGTTTAGTTGTCAAAAACACATTTGTATCATAGAAAGAGATTGGCAGGGTGCCTTCTTTGAATGTTTAGATTTATTAAACACTTGATTACTATGATCATTTACTACTGCGTATTGTGTACCTAATCTAATCCACTGATCACTGTATTTCTTAGCGAGTAAGAGATTGTTTTGATGATTGCCACTTTGTAATATATAGTTTGAAATCTGGTACTGCTGGGCTGCCTCCCTTCACATTTTTTTTCATTGATCCCCTTAATATTCTTGATCTTTTATTCTTCTGGATGAATTTTAGTATTTTTTTCTAGATCTATAAAATAAATTTTGATAGTTTTATTGGTATTGCACTGAATAAGTAAATTAATTTAGATAGAATTGTCATTTTTATTATATTGACTCAACCTAATACCTTTATTCACCAGAAAGATGAAGGCTATTAAAAATATTTTATAGGAAATCCTGAAAAATAATGTGTGCTCCAAATAAAAAGAACCAAATATTGAGATCTGGCATACTGGGAAAAAAATGAAGAAATATATAATAAAGGCAATGTTTTTTTAAATGGAAATTTGCCCAATCAAGTGAAAAGAAGCCCGAAAAGTAAGTTAAAAATTAGGTCAGCCAAAAAGTCATTCAGGACGTAGCTTATAGGATACTACAAAATCAATCATAAAAGAGTCTTTTAATATTTCAAACACATGCCAGCCAAAGAGTGAGATCACCTAATAATCATCATCAAAAGAGAATTAACAAAGAATCAATGAATTATGTCCATTAATCTTATTAAGAGAAATTCCCATTCCCAAATCACAGGATCAGATGGCACTCAAGGGTTTTAAAGGAACTCAAACATGAAATTGCATAAACACGTACCTATTAGCCAAACTGTGTAACCTGTTAAACTAGCCACTATGCCAGAGGCCTAGCAAATTGTCAGTGTAGAGCTATCCATGAGAAGCATTCCAGAAAAGACCCTAGGCCTAGTTAATCATAATAAAGAACAAAACTACTGAGTATTCAAGCAAGTTTAACATACTTCAGAGAAAACATGATTCCATAAAGAAGAAATAACATTGCTTTCATTCTTTTAGCATGTAAATAATCTTATGGACAAGGGATAATAACCAATGGCTACAATGTATTTTCATACTGGAGTTTCACACTAAAAACTCTTTTTTAAATTGAGTTGCCAAAAAACTAGAACCACTTTTTCTTGAATAAGGAATTATCTTACATAAAATAAACAAAGGGTAAAGGATATATTAGATGCTAGCCTAGATGAAGAACTATTAAAAATGGATACATTCAGGGGATAGGTGCTCAGATCAGTCTTAGTTAACATTTTAAAAATAAATTATATAGAAACCTAACAGTACCTTGGCACATAGCAGACAGTTAAAAATACTTATTGCCTTGGCTTGGACATACATAATGAGATGTATAGATTTGCAGGTGATGTCACTTACTTTCTTCTGGGCAAGATCTCATGACACACTATAACCGACCAAGAAAGTGACTGATAAGCTTCATGTGTATGATCATGTATTAAGCAAAAGTAATCTGGACTATAATTAAAAGGTGGTAAGTTCTGAGGTCGTTATTATAATCGGTCTAATGAAATACTATAGTCAAGAAAGCCAAGCCAATACTGTGTTGAGGGCATTAGAAGAGTATCAAAAATGAAACAGAAAACATTATTCTACCATTATGTAAAAACAGGGTTCTTTTATACCCAGTATACTGCATATAGTTTAGTTTTACTTACATATATTAAAAATACTTTGAGGACAATAGGATAACAATACATTTTTTAAATATTTTTTATTCTTCATAAGAAGATTCTCAAATTCTTAGATTTCCAATAAATTTTGTGAGATCCTGATTTTTACATTTAATGCTTAGGGGATGTTATAAGAGAACTAGTATTACAATTATTTTTCAGATATGATCCCAAAACTGATATGTGGACTGCAGTTGCATCTATGAGCATTAGTAGAGATGCAGTTGGAGTATGTTTACTTGGCGACAAATTGTATGCAGTTGGAGGATATGATGGACAAACTTACCTTAATACAGTGGAGGCCTATGATCCCCAAACAAACGAATGGACACAGGTATGCTATTTAATTTCTTTCTTTGATCCTAGTTATATTTTTATTAAAATGTTTCATAATTTCTCATCTTCACATAATATATATATAGTTTATTTGAATCATAGACTTGTTAGGAGTTAGAGCGGGTCTTTTCTGGTGGCAAAGAATTGGGAAGTAAGGGGATGCCCATCAAGTGGGGAATGGCTGAACAAGTTGTGGTATGTAATTGTGATGGAATACTATTGTGCTATAAGAAATAATAAGCAGGATGGCTTCAGAAAAACCTGAGAAGACTTATATGAACTAATGCAAAGTGAAGTGAGCAGAACCAGAAGATTTTACACAGTACAAGCAATATTGTAACAATAATCAGCTGTGAAAGACTTAGTTACTCTAATCAATACAATGGTCCAAGACAGTTCTGAAGAACTTAGGATGAAAATGCTATCCACCTTCCAGAGAGAAAGAGAACTGATGAAATCTGAGTGCAGATTGAAGTATACTTTTTACTTTATTTTTCTTGGAGTTTTTTGGGGCGTAGTCTATGTTTTAAAGCACGACTAATACAAAAATATGTTTTGCATGACTACACTAACCAATATCAAATTGCTTACCTTATCTTTGAGGGTAGTGGGGAGGGAGAGAGAGAATTTGGAACTCAGAATTTCAAAAACCAGTGTTTAAAATGTTTTTATGTGTAACTGGGGGAAAATAAAATATTAAATAAATACTTTAAAGAAATTTTTTTTTAAAAAAGGAATTATTACTGGTAGGAACTCTAGAAATAATTTACTCCGGTCCCCTCATTTCCTATATGTGGAAACGACCTCAATAGATCAAGTGACTTGCCTAAGATTACAGAAACAGAAAATGTAGCAGGGCTAGAAGTCAAACCTACGTTCTCCAACTGCAAATCCATTACATCTTAAGAGCACATATTAGATCAAAAATCTACAAAAAATGCTTTTGGAACAAGCAGACATCACTTCATTGAGCAATAGTAAAGGCTGATAAAAGGTACATACCATTGGATTTGTTAAATACAATTGAAAGTGATTTACCTTGGGGGCAGCTCGGTGGCACAGTGGATAGAGCTATGGCCTTGGAGACACTTATTAGCTGTATGACCCCGGGCAAATGTTCTAAAACCAGACCATTACTACAGACAGAGCTGTTCCCCAAATATCATTGACCTATTAAAAAAAAATTAAAAACAACTTTTTAAATTGATGTTGCCATGCCAGATACTCATAATCTCCAGTCTTCATGGAACAGAAAGCTTTGAAAATATGGAAACATAACAGAGAAGATCAGAATCCTGTGAGAATAGACTGAGGTACTTTGAAAATGCTTTTAGTGAGCCAACAGGATAAGCTTATATCTTAATATTTTTATTCAGTTGCAAAAAGTAGCTCTTTTATCTACCTGTGCAACAAGTCTATAGAGCATTAAATGTAAAAGAATAATAATTGGAGGAAAGCAACTTGTCCTAGTACTATTTCTTTTTGAACTCCATCAAAAAAAAAAAAGATGAGAGGAAGGAGATAATGAAAATAATAATAATGGTGACAACTTATATTTTACATAGCACTTCACAGATTACATACAAACCTATGAAATAGATAGTACAAGTAGTATTGTATACATTTTATAGAAGAGGAAACAAGATCAAAAAGGTATAATTACTTACCGAAGTCATACAAGTTATATCAGAGCCAGCATTTGAACCCCAGGTCTTCTGATTTCAAGCTTGGGCTGATTACACCTGGGGGACAATGCACCTACATTTTGGAGTAAAAGGAAGAAGGGCCATTTAAGGAGAAAGGGGTATCACAATTGAGGAAAAGAAATTGTGTAGTTCAGTGCTATAGGAAACAAAGAGCTTTTTGTAGATTTGGAGGTATTCGAGAGGATCACATGCCACAGCTGAGAAAAAAAGCCACCAGATTTGATGATTCAGACTTGGTCATTCCTGCCATTTCAGAGTATGTTTTAAGTAGAGTGAAAGGATTGCTGTTGTTGTTTGTCCTTTGTTCTCAAAGAGGACCGTGACATCAGGAAGGTGATGCCATGACTTGCAAGTGAATTGGATTTAAGTGAGAGAGGGCCGTGCAAAGGCACCAGCCTCACTTTCTCCTTCAGAGTCATCTGGGCCGAAAGGCAAGATATAGTTCAGGATGACTGGAGATGACCCCCAGAGTAGAAGGAAGTTAAAGAATGGGTAAGTGGTGAGGAAATATAGCCAGAGAGCATAGAGATTTTGTAGTGAAAGGAAAGGGAGGAGGCTAGTGGCTACCATATCAAGGTCATATCATTATTGTTTCATTCATTTTATGGCATGTGTATTTGTATACACTAATATATGGTATAGCTTAAAATCACTCCACTCCCCCATCTGCTCTGGTATAAATTCATAGGATGACATTGCGTTAAATAAATTATACAGACTAAATTTTCTAGATAGTTGCCATGACAACCTTTACAATTCAGAAATGTAAAGACAAGTATTAAGCTGTACATTTGAAGAAAAGCTGAATATTACTGACAGAAGTGTTGATTGTAGACATTTAGGGCAACCCATGAATTATGGCAGTCACATATAGCTTAATTTTTTTATTGTTCATAGGCATACAATAAGAAGTAAAATGACTGAACCACGTAATTGGGTTAAAAGTTCCCCGTTGAAATATTTATTTACATTTCAGTAATTTTCCCCATATTTTAGCGTAAATGATATATACTGCAGAGACATCCTGGTAGGGCTAAAATAAAGTTTATTTGTAGCTTATATTAGAAAAAGATCAAGTTTTCTCCAATATTGTCAATCTAATTACAATTACATATTTAGATATGTATTATATATAATAACTGTACACACAAAAGTGCACTCATAAATTTTGTGTGCTGCTGCATTGTGTACTCATCTTGTGAAACCCTTTCACCAACACTTTTTGGGGAAAGGTAAATGAGATATTTCCTGAATTAAAAACTTTTTTGAAATATGGTTAGGTATCCATCCTAGGGAGCTAAAGACAGTAGAGAAAACAATTTGTCTTCTTAAGTACCTTTTTCCCTCTAGTCTACTCTGCTCAAAGCAACCTTAAAAAAAAATTATTGTTGCCCACATTATGTCCTATGCTACTTACTTCCCACAGTGCCTTGTTTGATGCTGAGAGCAGAGACTCAGAATATGGAGTTGAGGGATGAAAATTTGATAAATTTTCCATTTGGAAAACTAAGAAAGTCAGATGGTTTATTAATAGGTAGAAATTCAATCCCCACACAGGACCTATTTACAGTAAATCTATTATTTCAAATTAAAACAACTTTGAAAAAGTTAATTCATTTTAAATCCACCAAAATGTCATAGGATCATAGATTTAGATTTAAATCTGGAATGATCCTCAGTCTTCCCTCCTCATTTTACAGAAGAGAAAACTAAAACCCAGAGTTGAAGTGACTACCCAAGGTCACACAGGTAGCATAAGAGTATGATTTGAACCTCTAAATCCTTGAACTGCAGAGCCAGCGTTCTTTATACTAAACCATGGTATCTCTAGACTCTGTGCAAAGATAGAGGCTTATACTCCATCTCATTATATTCTTCTTAAGACTCTGACCTGGGCAGCCCTCAGCCCAGAGAAGATACTCAATGTAAATCAAGTCTTGTTGACTGATCAGGTGTCCTAAAGTTAAGATATTCCAGGAGGTGGCAAGCACAAGAGGTACTCCTGCATTTTTGTATGCCCAGTTATTATACATCTATATCTAAATATGCAATTGTTATTAGATGGCCAATATTGGATAATAGTTGGTCATTTTTTAACATAAACTATAAATAAAATTTCATTTAAACCTTCACTTTCTAGTATATCCCTGCAGTGTATATCACTTACGCTAAAATATGTACAATGCTACAATGACCAGTTGTACATAAAGAAAATTGTTAAATAATCTCTAAACTACTAAAAAAAAGGAATCACCTTTCAGCAAAAGGCATGGAATAGTTGTATAATACACAGATCTAATGATAACCCATTAGACTATGAGCTCCTTGAGCAGGGACCATTTTTTGCCTTTCTTCGCATCCCCAGAGCTTAACATAGTGCCTGGCATGTATACCTGGCATTTGCTCTTTACAGAAACATAATGAATATGGCTGTCATGTTATTTCTTTTTGTTTTAGGTTGCACCATTGTGCCTAGGAAGAGCTGGGGCATGTGTTGTGACTGTAAAACTATAACCTAATAATTATTTTATACATGAAGATAATTTACTCCTTTATAAAATCCTAAGACAAATGGATTACATTTTAAGGAAATTTCAAGTGCAGCATGTCTTCTGTCAGGTATAAGGTATCTGATGTGAAATTGAAGATGAAAAGGGGGAGGGATAAATAAATAAATATTAAGCACCTTTTTAAAAATAAGATTCCATCATTTTCATGATAAACTAATACAGGTAGACTGATAATGAAATATTATCAGTTAACTCTTCCATACAGAAACAAATGTCAATCAAGAATTTCATTTATTCATAGCTGGAATAAACCATTATCTAAATTTAGTTTTGTTTTTCATAATGTAAATGCACCAACTTAAAGAGCTCTAAATGCCTCCTCTGCCTTGTAATTAAATATAAACATATGCATCCTCGGTGCACTTTTTCACCATATCTGAGGTTCAGAAACTTTTTTATTTAACCAAAGCCTCAGCAGCATCTTATGATAAACAATATTCTAATGAATATTTTTGGAAAGAGCTTTATTATATATGTACTAGATGTGAACTTTATAAAGAAAAAGAGTTCAATTTATTCCACTCAGCAAATAAAAAATGTGTAAGGTAAGAACCCAATAAAAATATAATATGGACTTTTGGGGGAATGTTTCGACATTCCACTAAATCTAGTTAACCAAGAGAGTTACATATCATGTTTTCAAAATGCAGTTGAATCATGATTTTGTAGTAATTTAAGAAATACAATCTTATTTGGGGAAAAAATATGTGTTTCCTATAATCTTACTCCTACACATGACAGATATCCAGTCATAAGGCAACAGCTCCAAATATGGGGTGGGGGGGGGTTTCCCCTTATTATAGACATGCTTTTTGATTTATCTTTTGATATTATTATAACTAAATTACTTTATTATTTCATGTATGTTTTCTTATATTTGTATTTGCTTCTTGTGCCTTGTTTCTTATGTTCTGCACAGTATATATAACTCATTATTGTGCTTCACTATAATAGACAGCTTGAAAAAATTAGGTTCCATACCTGGTTGGAAATGTTTTTAAGGTGCCTGATGCCTAAAATACATATTTGTATATTTGTAAAGTAAAGTACATACGTGAATGTTAATGCTCTCAGTGAATTATTTATTGTTTACCAAAAAAAGAGCAGAAACATTTTGTGATGTTTGTAATAAAGTTTCATCTCTTAATGTAATGATCAATATTGAGTATAAACTAAAAAAAACTTTTTAAATATAATTTTATGATTAATGTGTTTTCTTGTTTGTCTCTGTCCTGAATATATTTGTGGGAAGAAGAAAAGGAGCAAAAAATATTAGGACAGAGAGAAGATTTTTAAAAATCAGAACATAGTCATATCATTACCTTCCTACAGTTACTAAAGGAATTATTAGAATCTGTGATTTGAAAGAAAGCTCTTCTGACTAAATCAGAAATCTTTGATATGTAATGCCAATGAAAAGTCATTCTATCAACTCTTTACCTCCCTCTGGGGTTCCAAAGTAAAGTAAAGCTTAGAAAAAATATGTCAATTCATAGTTTTGAAACCTAGTCAAAAGGGGTTTTTTCTTTAAAGATCTTTCTGCAAAAAATTTTGTCAATTAAATAATTCATCTCCCCATTTTACTGCCTAACATTGGAGTTCTTCTACACATCTATTTGTAGCAGCCACTGTTCTAAAGCTAGCCAAAAAGAGTATCATAATATATGGTCATCAACTCTCTTCCCCAATCAGAAGTTTCATGGATTTTAGAACAGGAATCATGGAGTCAGGAAGAACTGGTTCTGAATCCTACCTCCAGAATTTATGTGATCCTACACAACTCACTTTGCTTTGATTTCCTCATCTGTAAAACAGGGATAAATTATACATGTAGCACTTTACTCTCAGAGCTGGTGGGAAGGTCAAATGAGGTGTATGTATGTATGTAAAGTGCTTTGAAAAACAAAGCACTATATAAATAGCAGCTATTGGCCTCTTCCCACTGTGGCTGACTCCCTTTTCTCATTCCAAACTACTTACTATTCTTTACATTAATAAACAAAAGCTAGAAGGGTTGATCGTCCAAATCGTCTGTAGGCTCAAGCTAGGGAAAAAATTTAAATCTTTTGTTTCAGTTATTGTACAATTTTAATAGGATATTTAAAAAATCTGGCAAAAAACATGGGATTTCTGAAGGAATTTTTTTTTAAAATTCCACACCATTCTTGGTCAATTTAGTCAATCTAAGAAGTTTATTTATACTTTAAATATTAGTACAGTTTGATTTAAAAATAATAAACATAAGAAAATATTACACATCCATACCAAATGATATGCCTATCAATTTATAACATGTTTTAGATAAACAATAACAAAGTATTTCATCAGAAGCATTCTTCATCTATAAATAAATCATAAAATTCCATACAAATGTTATCTAGCAATTAACAACAGATTAACTTTGAAAAAATAAAAAGTCATTATTAATTAACTTCATTTTCTCTTTTAGAACATATCCAATTAAGGAGGTTGCCTTAATGTCAGTAAGCTGGATTGAATGGTCTGAAAATAAAAAAAATATTTTTGTTAGTGCTTGGATTATCAAAGAAAACACAGAAGACCATTATTAGAGTATGGCTTACCATTGCATTGATTGGTTGAATGGATCAAAATGTAGTACACTCCACATCCAAAATAATGACATACCGTAAAAGCCTGACATAACCTATATTTAGCACAATCTTATATTCTAACACCTAACACTAGCTATAAAAGGAGAAAAAGTTCTATTTGTTGCAGCATTCTAAAGGGGAAGACTAAGTGGCTTTATCAAAATGTATATATTAGTAAAACTATCAAACAATAGATTCCCCTTAATCTAGTCTGCATGAAGAATTTATATTCATGAATAGTCAATTTTTAAAATTTCTCTGGATCCTGGCAATCTACTCCTTAAAATGAAAAGATTATTAACTAATCAGACTAGAATACAACTTTAAAGTCTTTTTTAAAAGTCACCTTTAGTAATAATAGTATCATCAATGTTTTGGTGGACTCTCATAAATCTGAATTTCTGGTTTTGGCCATTTACAGTTCAGGCTGGAACTAGAACAGATACGAAAGGCAGATATAGTGTTTTAAGAATAAACTTCAGTCATGTCAACTTGGTGTGTTTTTACATTCGATGTACCTTGCAAGATTGTGTCAGTACAGTATAGTAAATGCTATCTGGGCATAGGTAAGAAACTTTCTAAAATACTTAACAATTTAAAGATAATAAGGTGCCATTTAGTAAGCTGCCATTTCCGTGTAAAGTGATGAGAATACATTAAGCATACTGAATGAACTAAATGGATTCAAAAGTGCTATTATTTTCCCCTTCCTTAACTCATATTATTCCCCTCCAACATACACCAGCCAAACTAAAATATTTACCAACTCTCAAAATGGCTGTGCTAAGGAAATACAGAATAAAGGTCTTATCATAACAGGATTCATGAAGAAAGGCTTCATGGAGAAAGGAAACTGTTAGCTGGGTCTTGAAGAAGGCGATTGACATAGATCAGCAGAAAGAAGTATAGATGTTAAATGCTGTAACATTTCTATACCTTATATTATCATTAAATTTATATGTAAATATCACTTCATATAAGGTATAGATATTTTTAAATGTACACCTTAAATGAAGTGTTTATATTTAAGTTCTTGTATTTTTTTATGTCATTGAATTAGTATTGGAAGGGATTTTTAGTGATCATTTAGTCTAAACTCCCTGATGCATGAATACTTTCTACCAGATCCATGAGGAGTCATCCAGCTCCTGCCTGATCACTTATAGTAACAAGAAATAAACAGACATCTCTGAGGAAATTATATTATTATGATGATGATGATGATGATGATGATGATAATAATAGCTGACATTTATGTAACCCATATTACATGCTAGCTAGGCACTGTGCTAAGTGCTTTACAATTATTATTTCATTTGATCCTCACAACAACCTTGAGAGGCAGGTGCTATTATCCTCATTTTACAGATGAGGAAACTGAGGCAAACAGGTGATGTGACTTGCTCAAGATCTCACAGCTCATAAATGTCTAAGGCCAAATTTGAATTCAGGTCTTCCTTACTCCAGGTCCAGTACGCTATCCACTGGACCACCTAGCTGCCTTGAATATAAGTAGGCACTTAATGAATATAGGTTGCAATCAACTGATTTATAGTGAACCAAAATCTGTTTTCTTCTCACTTCTACCCACTGGTCCTGATTATGCCTTCTAGATCCATACAGAATAAGTCAATTAGTTTTCCACACAAGCATTCTTTAAATATCTGAAAGACAGCTACAAGGTTTTCTCTAAAATCTTTAATTCTACAATCTAAAAAACTCATGTTTCTTAACTACTTGCTCCTATCATATGGTTTCAGATTTTCTCACCATTCTCACTGTCATCATGTGGAAGTGCTCCAGCTTGTTAATACTCCTTCTGATTTGTTATACCCCAAACAAAACACAAGATTCCAGATGTGGTCTGAACAAAGCAGAACATCACCGATCTCAGAAGGAAATTCAGAAATCACCTATTCCAGCCCATGTCTATAGAGGAATCCCCTAATAAATGGTAATCTAGCCATCACCTGAAGTCATTTCATTGCACCATGGTACAGATCACAACTCATTTAGCCCTTGTCCTATGCCAACCTTTTCTATGTTTTACCAAAGATCTTCTACACATGCACCCAATATAACAGAAACTACTGTGCAGGTCTTTTTTTTTTTTTTTTTAACACTTTGTGAAGCTATTCGTTGATTATCCTTATGTACTTAATAGGCCCACTCCTTTTTCTGATCATACATTTCCTCAATGATATCCCTTACATCACTTTAAGGTATAAGTTATCATTCAAAATATGCTGCATGAGTGGATTCAGAACTGGTTAAATGATTGGATCCAAAGAAGGTCATTACTGATTCAATGTAAACTTGAAATGAAGGCTCAAGTGCGAGGACCTATGCTTGGTCCTACACTGTTAATTTATTTTTTTTATTTTTTAAATAAATATTTTAATATTTTATATTTTTTATTTGTTTTTATTTTTAACATGTGTTTTTAAAACTTTGGGTTACAAATTTTCTCCCTTCCTCCCTCCCCACCCACCCTCATTGAAAAGGCAAGCATCTTGATACAGGTTATAGATGTATACTAATGCAAAACACTTCCACAGTAGTCATGTTGTGAAAAATTAAGTATATTTCCCTTCATCCTATCCTACTCCCCACTTATTCTATTCTCTCTTTTGACCCTGTCCCTCCTCAGAACTGTTTGCTTCTGATTATCCCCTCCCCCCATCTGCCCTCCCCCCTATCGACCCTCTGCTCTCTTGTCCCCTTCCCCCCTTATTTTCCTGTAGGGTAAGATAGATTTCCATACCCCATTGTGTATGTTATTTCCTTCTTAAGCCAAATCCTATGAGAATAAGATTCTCACCTTCCCCCATTTCCCCTCCACTGTAAAAGCCTTTTCTAGTCTGTTTCATGTGAGATAATTTACCCCATTCTACTTTTCCCTTTTTCCTTCTCACAGTATAATCCTCTCTCACCCCTTAATTTTATTTTCCAGCTATCACCCCTTCATCTTCAACTCACCCTTTGCCCTCTATCTATCTATCTATCTATCCATACATACATAAAATTTTTTTCCTTCTCACTGCCCTAATACTGACAAAGGACTCATGAGTTACAAATATCATCTTTCCCTGCAGGAATGTAAACAGTTCAACCTTAATAAGTCTCTTATGATTTCTCTTTCCTGTTTACCTCTTCCATGTTTCACTTGAGTCTCGTATTTGAAAGTCAAATTTTCTATTCAGATCTGGTCTTTTCCTCAAGAATGCTTGAAAGTCCCCTATTTCACTGAATGACCATTTTTCACCCTGAAGGATTATACTCAGTTTTGCTGGGTAGGTGGTTCTAGGTTGTAGTCCTAATTCCTTTGCCCTCTGGAATATCATACTCCATGCCTTCCGGACCCTTAATGTAGAAGCTGCTAAATCTTGTGTTATCCTAATTGTGTTTCCACAATACTTGAATTGTTTCTTTCTGGCTGCCTGCAATATTTTCTCCTTGATCTGGGAATTCTGGAATTTGGCTACAATATTCCCAAGCGTTTTCCTTTGGGAATCTCTTTCAGG